GAGAGAGAGAGAGAGAGAGAGAGAGAGAGAGAGAGAGAGAGAGAGAGAGAGAGAGAGAGAGAGAGAGAGAGAGAGAGATCCTTGAGGTGGGAAGTTGAGAGCTGTTGTCATCCCGAGACAGAGAGAGACAGCTGCAGATGATTGGACTTTGTTGTTTCAATTTGTAAATTGCATGTCATGGTATTGATCTTACAGGCAAGATGGGATTTTCTTTGAAGGCTTGGCAGGGTGAAGTAAGTCTAGTCCAGCTTAAGGGACTTTTAATGGTCCAGAACCTAAGGCAAAACCAGCATGCGGAGAATAGTCGTAAGCTGACCTTGTTGAGGTCTGCCTTCGCTTGTCAAGGGCCGCTTGCATAAGCTTGTGAACGTTTTTCCTTGACAGAATGGAAAACAACAAAACTGAGAAAAACTCCGGATCCCAACCCCCCCCCCAAAAAAAAAAGAAAAGAAAGACTCCGAATAAATGAGACATTAGCTGTAAAAAGAAGGGGAGAGGTGGGGAGTTTGGAAAACAGTGTTCAAAACACTAAAAATGAGAAAAGAGAAAATCCTTGGTTAAAAACACTAGAAAGAAAATTGTTCTGGCAGCGTATGTGCTTTCCACTCTGACTCTTCATGCAAAACGAGTCGAGATGCAGCTTCTTTTTACTACCATCTTCACCCGAATAGAACGCCCGGTCGTTATAGATGTATTTGGGGCAAATTTCAGACCATATGCAGCGATAATGACCAGGCGTTCTATTCAGGTGAAGACGGTAGGCTCCGACCTCGTTATGCTTTTTCAAGTTCCCAGTTTCGGCGGAATCAGCCCATTGATTCGCCTTCTTGTATGCGTATCAATGTTTGTGATCTTGATCTGTCTATCCACAGCTGTGAGTGTTTGCCATCAAGCCACCACCATGGCAGGCATGTTTGATGGGGTTTTTAACTTTTTTAACTTTTTTTTAACCTTTTTTCTGTGTACGGATCCGGGCCGTCCGGCCGACCAGCGCCTGCCCGGGGGAGGTCCCGGGCGGCCTGGCCGGGCGGGCAGCCCGGTTGGGGGCCAGGCACCCCCAGCACACCTTGTTGGGCGGGGGGGTTCCGACCCCGAATCGCCAAGTTCTGGCCTCCCCAGGGCCTACCGGGTCCGACCAGGCCCAAAAAACGGCGCGTCGGGCCCGTGAGGCCA